TCCCTCTCTCCCTGACAAATAAATAAATGCATAATATGTCCATGAGCATCTCTTGTTTTTCCTTTATTGACAGTAAGGGCTTACACCTAGCATTAATTCTGCTTCCCGTTTTGTCATTGTGGCTCAAGCCCACCACTGTAACAGCCCCCACTGAAGGCAGATTTTGGTAGACTTTGAAAACCTTGTTTGACTTGAGACTCCATATGCTTCCTGGCTTGCAAACAAAGTGGCTTGCAAATCCTGCACCAGCAATGGTCAGTGCAACAGCTACCCTTGTACTGGCCATGGTTCCGGCTCCACTGGGCTCCTACCTCCACTGAGAGCATGTTTCATCCAGCTCAGAGGCCGCAGCCCCCAACACCACACCTCTACCAGAAAGCAGCATGGCCACCACCAGCTGGGACAAACGAACAGACACAGGTGCCCAGGAAACACAGCAGTGGTGGCCTGTCCACCCTTTATAGGGAGAATATTATTCATTGTATAAATGTCGTAAGTTATTGAACCACAGTCATGCTCCACTTAATGATGGGGATACTTTCTGAGAAATGTAATGGTCACCAGGCCATTATGTTGTTGTTTGAACATCAGAGAGGGCACTTACACAAACCTGATTGCACAGCCTACTACACACCTGGGCTATCTGATATAGACTGTTGCTCCTAGACTAAAGGCCTAGGCAGCGTGTCACTGTACAAAACAACATGAGATTAAATCAACCACAAGAGAAAATGATGCAACCAAGGGACACAGGAAATGGGAGATACATAAGGCTGCCCTTGGTGTGAAGCAGTGTGCTGTTTCACGCAGCAAAATAACAAAAAGTGTAGTCTAGTAAATACGCAAACTAGTAACGTATTTGTTCATTATCAAGTATTATGTTCTGTACATAATTGTATGTGCTGTACTTTTATAGGACTGGCAGTGCAGTAGGTTTTTTACACCAGCATCACCACAAACGTGAGCAATGCATTGCACTATGACGTCATTAGGTGTTCGGAATCTTTCATCCTTATTACAACCTATGGGACCACCGTCTTTCATGGGGTTCATCTTTGACTGAACTGCTGCTATACCATAGTCCCTTTTTTGATGGATGTCAAGACTAACATTTTTGTTTTACCACGATAAACAAGATTCCAGTAAATAGTCTGGTATACACAGTATTTTTGTGCACTTTAGCTAGTATACGTGCAGGGCAAATTCCTAGGAATAAACTGATAGGTCACAGGGCCAGCACATTTTAAATTTTGACATATTTTGCCAAATTGCCCTCCAAAAAGATTTCACCAGTTTGCACTCCTTTGAAAAAGAAACCCAATGATATGGAGAGGTGTGGAGTAAAAAAAAAAGAAAAGTGTGCCTTCCCCGGCCATTTTATCCACAGACATAGAGTTTGGGTATCCTTCTCAACCTCAGATTTTGCAAATAGATTATAATTCTGTTACACAGACGGCAGTATGTTCTGCCAGTGCTTTTTTCAATCGACAGTACATGGTGGCTCTGCTTTCAATATTTATTGAATGGTATAGTGCCTACTGTTAAAGCCGAGGATTGCTGGGGATGTGGTAAGTCAGGACTGGGGGCTGGTGGGCCTGGTGTGCTTCCTGCTTGTTTGTCAGTGAGGTGGAGGCGCTGCCCGGGGCCCCAGGGGGAGTGTGTCCTTGCATACAGGGCAGGCACTGTTGATTACAGCTCCCAGACGAGGGTGCTTTTGTAGCCAGCTACTTTAAATGTGTTTTAACTTCATGTGTGCATGCATTTAATTTCTTCTCCACTCTCTGACTTGGAGTGATTTTATCTGGTTTACAGGGGGGTCGTATGGTCGGGAGCTGGGATAGCCTCAGTTCTAGACAAGAATTTGGTGAATGGTATAGGACAGCGATTTTCAACCTTTTTCATCTCATGGCACACATCAACTAAAATTACTGAAATTCTGTGGAACACCAAAAAATATATATATTGTCAATCTGACAAAAAAAGGTGTAATTTTGATTCATTCACCTTAGATGCCTATTATAGTATTGGTTGTTGTCATTTTTTTTAAATTTGACAGTCTAAGGGAAAAGAGGTCAGTGCTCCAGACTACATAGTCAGGTATTGTATGTTTTAAAAATTCTTGCTGCACACCGGTTGAAAATCGGCTGGTATAGGACACTGTACAGGGTAAAATCCTGCACACTTTGCTGACAGGGCTTCAGCGACATTTGAGCTGCGTCTCAACATTTACTAGTGTTATAGCGTCAAACATATGCCCAGCCAGCTAAGCCACTTCAGCCAATGCCTCAGCGTCTTCTTGTTTCCACTTTCTCCTCTCTCTCTAAAACTCTTAAAAAAAAAAAAAAGAATCTGAGGAGTCTGATGATGACATAGGCTTTGGCCATTTTTTAAAAATTATTATTATTTATTGATTTGAGAGAGAGAGAAAGAAACATCAATTTGTTGTTCCACTTAATTTGCATTCATTGGTTGCTTCTTGTATGCGCCCTGACCAGGATTGAATCCACAACCTTGGCGTGTTGGGATGATGCTCTAATCAACTGAATTACCGGGCTAGGGCTGGTCTAAGACTAAAGCTCTTTTGTAACACGTTCAATAAAAAGCTGAAGTCTGAGAAGAAGAAGAAGAAAAGTTAGCCTTTACTGGCAGTAGGTAGTTTATTTTGTAGAGCTGTAATCCTGTAACCCCCTGCAGCTCTCACAATTGGTCATTCTGTTAACTGGTTTTGCAAAACACGTATGTGGTTCATGAAATTAATGTAGAGGGTGGTGACTGGCTTTTTATAAGGATGGAATAGAACACAATAAAAAGTATGAATGTTCCCTGTGTAATGAGGGTAATAATTATTTTGTGAAACTTTCCTTTCTATTACAGATATTTATATTGGAAGTAGGTTACCATACAGAGTATGTTTCTTGCTATGGGCAATAGTCAAGTATATAAAGAACACTGTAATATGTAGGATTATTATTTTTATTTAAAAATCATGTTCTTTTTAAAAAATTATAAAATAAATTGGAACAAGACGTAGGTCTATCCTAAGTGTATTAGTTTCCTGCGACATAACAAATTGCCAAAAAAAAAATGGTGGCTTCACCAAGAGAAATTTATTCTCTCACCGTTGTGGCGGCCAGAAGTCTGAAATCAAGGTCTTGTCTCTCTGAAGGTCCCAAGGAGAGAATCCGGTCCTTCCTTCCTCTAACTTCCGGTGGCTATTGGTGTTCCTTGGCTTGTTTCTTGGCATTACTGCGATCGCTGCCTCCCTTTTCACACCTCTTTCCTCTCTTCTCTATTTTCTCTCTAAATCTCCCATTGCCTTTCTCTTATAAAGACACTTGCCATTGGATTTGGGGTCCACCTGAATAATCCAGGATGATCTCATGTTAAGATCCTTCATTACATCTACACAGACCCTTTTTCTCAGTGAGGTAGTGATCACAGAGTCTAGGGATTAGGACATGGACATACCTTTTGAGGGCCACCTTTCAACCTGCTATACTAAGTGAAAAGTGAAGTATTGATCTCTACACCTTCTAACCCTCCACCTAGGCCAGTGGTCGGCAAACCGCAACTCTCGAGCCACATGCAGCTCTTTGGCCCCTTGAGTGTGGCTCTTCCACAAAATACCACGTGCAGGCGCACACGTACAGTGTGATTGAAACTTCGTGGCCCATGCGCAGAAGTTGGTTTTCAGAAAGGAGATGAAGCAAGTATACAAGACGAGTGTGGATGGGAGAGTTGGAAGGGGTTGACCTCAGCGAACGCACCTCAATCAGATTGAGGACGTTTTTAGCAAAAGCCAGTTTAGGAGTACCCTAATTAAGTTAATAACAATGTACCTACCTATATAGTTTAAGTTTAAAAAATTTGGCTCTCAAAAGAAATTTCAATCGTTGTACTGTTGATATTTGTCTCTGTTGACTAATGAGTTTGCCGACCACTGACCTAGGCCAACCCCTCATCCTCCTGAACCTGGGTGCAGAGCTAGGAGAAAAAGTGATGACTAAGCATGAAAATTATCAGATAAACTTGAGTAGGTTTAACGTTCTCCCTGGTGTAGTGTGGTGTACTTTGCCCTGTTTCCTCTGCAGGGTGGAAGACCTGCCGCTCCTCAGAATTAAAATAAGGTTGTGCAGTGTCCTCAAACTGTCCTTCATTTTCTTCTGCAGGTCCCTGATCACTTAGTTGAGGCAGGTTGTAGGCTGAATATGTCATTCATTTGTTGTGGTTTCTAACGTTTAACTCATAATATGGGGAGGAGTGAGTTGTTAAAGCTCGCCATGTTACTTGCTTGAAAGTCAGAACACATATTTGTCTTTGGTGCACCCACCTGTCCAGTCACCTTGACGCCAGAAAGCTGGCCTGCCTGCTGACCTCCTGGTGAAAGGTCTCCAGGAGGCCCACGTGGAAGGGAGCGGGGGATCCCTGCCTTGCCGGAGGCTGTCCTTGTGGGTGGAGCGGGAATGTCCCTTGCGCTCCTGGGAATCTCCCTGTGTGGTGCTTTGGGATAACGAATGATTGATAGGCCAGGCCGGATCCTGTCTCAGCCAGCGTGAGATGGCCTTTATATGAACAGTTAGGAGTTAATGAGTGTGGACAGTATGTAAACATAAATTGAATACTGTCAATTTTATCGAGATTCATAGAAATCAATGTTATATTCCACACATACTCCACAACCCTCTCTCTGATTGAGAGAATTTCACTGTAAACAAAAAACCAGACAACAGAAATCCCACTGATCCAGTCATCCAGAGACAGCCCCGTAAGCATGCTGTGTACATTCTGTGTACTCCTGCTGTCTTTATCTACAGTGCTTTTTCTTGCGCATACCAGCATGACTGCTGAAACATTGATTTCTGGAATGACCCTTGTCTGCCTTGCCTTTCTTGTACAGGAGTCAATAAACCCTCTAAAGGAAGAAGCATAATTGGCAGAGTCGATGACTCATCTCGAATCCCTGGGACAGGCGTTCCAGTGGAGCCAGGCCTTTCTGTGGATGAGATTTCTGCCTCCCTCCTGACTGGAAAGCTGACAACTGTCTTTCTTGCCGAGTAATGGCATCGCCCTGTGGGTCTTCCTTTTCCGAACGAAGAAGAAGCACCCTGCAGTGGTATACATGGCCAACCTGGCCTTGGCAGACCTCCTCTCTATCATCTGGTTCCCCATGAAGATTGCCTATCATATACATGGCAACAACTGGGTTTATGGGGAATCTCTTTGCAAGGTACTCATTGGCTTTTTCTATGGCAACATGTACTGCTCCATTCTCTTCATCACCTGCCTCAGCGTGCAGAGGTATTGGGTGATCGTGAACCCCATGGGGCACACCAGGAAGAACGCAAACATCGCCATCGCCATCTCCCTGGGAATATGGCTGCTGATTCTGCTGGTGACCATCCCCTTGTATCTCGTGAAGCAGACCAGTTACATCCCAGCCCTCAACATCACCACCTGCCATGATGTCTTACCGGAGGAGGTGCTGGTGGAGGACATGTTCAGGTATTTCCTCTCTCTGGCCATCGGAGTCTTCCTGTTCCCAACCATCCTCATGGCTTCTGCCTATGTGCTGATGATCAGAACACTGAAATCTTCTGCCATCGATGAGAACTCAGGGAAGAGGAGGAAGAGAGCCATCAAACTGATGGTTACTGTCCTGGTCATGTACCTGGTCTGCTTCACTCCTAGTAACATCCTGCTCGTAGTGCACTATTTCACGATTAAACACTGGGGCCAGAGCTACGTCTACGCCCTGTACATCGTAGCCCTCTGTCTCGCCACCCTCAACAGCTGCATCGACCCCTTTGTCTATTACTTTGTTTCAGAAGACTTTAGGAATCATGCAAAGAACGCTCTTCTTTGTCGCAGTGTCCGTAAGGCAAAGCGGATGAAAATATCTCTCACATCAAAGAAGTCCTCCAGGAAATCCAGCTCTTATTCTTCAAGTTCAACCACCATTAAGACCTCCTATTGAGTATTCCAGCTCCGTGGATGGAAGTTTTACGGGAGGCTTTGGAGCTTGCTTAATGTTATGGCGACGTTTCTGTTGTTTCCTAACCAACAGAGTCTAACCACGTACCATGTATATGCAGTACCTTTCAGGATTGCTGGAAGCTTCCCTGTTTGCATGAAGAAAATCCACTAAGTTAACATAAATGCCAGTTTCAGAATTTCTCTACTCAGATGCTCCCAGAATGGAACTTACAAAAGCAGACTTTAGAAGGTGGCTCCCGGCAAAACACACACACACCAAACAGAAACCCAGTGACTTGCAAAAACTGGTTTTGGCATAAAGACTAAGTTCTTAGTGGAAACTACATGTCTTATACATCTGGGGTCAACCACAGTCTTGTTAGGGCTTAAGAACCCTCAGAGATGATCTGTCCAATTGATTGAGTTGATGGAGGAAGGAACTTTTAAAGAGGCGAAGGAGCTGCCCAGAGTCAGGCTTCTAACCAGTGGCGGCAAGTTAGGGTTGGGCAGCAGCATCTGAATGGTCAGTGGGGTTCTTGCACCACTTCATCGAAGTCAGCGAGCTTTTTGTTTAAAAAGGCAGGCTCATCAGACTCTGGAATGAGAACTCAGAATCTGGGAACAGGCCCCCAGGAACCTGCATGCTGACAAGCTTCTGTGCAAAGCTTAGGCACACTAGGTCTGACACCCACTGGTCTGGCAGCTGCTGCTACTGGATAAAGGGTCCTGGTAGTTTTTAAGAAGAGAAGCAGACAGAATGCTTTGTGTCTGCTCGGAATGAAACTGGTTTGTTGACTTACTGGATCTTTCAGTTTCTTTATTAGTCTTGAGCTTTTATATGTATCATTATCATTTTGAGGAAAATGCAACAGGATTTTAAACTTGAAAATACAAATGTGTAACTTTTTACTGACTTCAGCGAAATCTTCAGGTAGCCTGAGTTTCACAACAAGGATCAGAATTGACCACTTAGTGTTTTAAGAAATTATTGTTGGACTATTTATTGTCAGTTTTGGTCCTTTGTTATCAAATATGAAATTATAAAGCCTTCGCTGGGTTTGAACCGCATCTGTTTGGGGAAAAAAAACTAAAATAGATGTGATTTGCAGTAATATATCTAAGGGATATTTGGCTCCAGACTGACTTTATATGACTTGTATTTGTGACTTTTTGAAATAATTATTTTATTGTATGATTTATAAATGACTATTTTAAAAAAATATTTTTATTGATTTCAGAAAGGAAGGGAGAGGGAGAGAGAGAGATAGAAATATCAATGATGAGAGAGAATCATTGATTGGCTGCCTCCTGCCCGGCCCCTACTGGGGATCAAGCCCACAACCCCAGGCATGTGCCCTTGACCAGAATTGAATCTGGGACCATTCAGTCCGCAGGCCAGTGCTCTAGCCACTGAGCCAAATCAGCGAGGGCTCACATGACTACTTTTTACAACTTCTTTCTTTCTTTTTTTTTTTTTTTTTAAAATATATTTTATTGATTTCTTACAGAGAGGAAGGGAGAGGGATAGAGAGTCAGAAACATCGATGAGAGAGAAGCATCTATCAGCTGCCTCCTGAACACCCCCCACTGGGGATGTGCCTGCAGCCCAGGTACATGCCCTTGACCGGAATCGAACCCGCGACCCTTGAGTCCGCAGGCCGACGTCCCATCCACTGAGCCAAACCGGCCAGGGCACAACTTCTTTCTGAATTGTGTGTGCGTGTGTGTGCGCGCGCGTGTGTGTGTTTGAGGGAAGGAATGTAAAAGGGCAAGCGACATCATTCTACTAAGAAGAAATTATGCGAGGCTCACACCTTATTTTTACATAAAAAGGGCCATACTGTACATATTGCTCTGAGGGAGTTGTTTTTCATTTACTTACAGTTCAGAATTCTTTCCATGTCTGCACCCATAGGTTGACCTTCACTTTTAAAGGATACAGACTATTAAATGTTTTGACTATATTGTGATGTATTTAGTCATTTCCCTACCTATGGCTTCCGCGCCGGCCCCCCTCCCCTTCATATAAATGGTGCTGCATTGGACATCTGTGTGCAGATGTTTTTTGATGTGTTCCTAGAAGTAGAGTGGCCAGATAAAAAGACACCTATTTAAATTTTAAATTTTTGTAACTCTTGCCAGATTGCCTTCAGTAATTTATACTTCTACCAAAAAGTGCGTTTGTACCTATTTCCTGAAATGCTCATTCATGAATCTTTGCAAATTTTACCAATCTGTTTTGAAGCAGCACAGCCTACTGGCTGAGAGTGTCAATCCTGAGCTGCCAGGCAGGGCTGAATTCTGACTTTCTTTATTTTTTTTGTTACCTTAGGGGAGATACTTCTGTGTCTCAGTTTCCTCATTTGTAAAGTGAGGATAATGTCTTTCTCACTGAATTATTAGGATTGAACATTTGGCACATTTATGCAGTCATACACATTATGTAGCATTATTACTATTATTCCTTTATCTGCTAACAAGATCTCATTTCCAGTCTGCCCCTTTTCACATCAGTGCCGGTTGTGTCTGCCTGCCTTCTTGCTTTCTCCGCTTTGAGTCTCCTACCAGGCTTGTAGGTTGTCTCCATTTTACAGGTAAGAAAGCAAAAGATGGTGGACACCGAATACAAGGGAGCAGAAACGATTGGTTCACAGGCCCTGCAGGTGCTCTATGGAGGGATTCCGTGGAAAAAATGTTTGGTATTTGCCATTTATTTATTAGTCATTTCAATAACACATGCTAAAAAACCCAACTGAACAAAAATATATAGCTAAAACGTTTTCTTCTTTGCTACCCATGCTCATTCTCATCTCCCAGCAGGTTAATTTTTATAATCTGTACACAATATGTATGTACATTAACCCTTCAAATAAAAATGAATATGTTACAATAAGAATATGTATGTGTATATAAATGTGTATATGTGCACATATATGTATGTGTGTGTGTGTGTATATCAAGTTCTTAAATCAGTACAAATGGATCTTCCTCATTTTTTTTTTCAATTTTCTATTCAGTTTATCATTAAGTTATAGGGATCTAGTTCTCATTCAAGTTTACTTGAGTTTTTCATATCTGAATATCTTATCAAAAATAGTGAAACTGGAGAATGTTGATCTAAAATCTTAACACAAGCATGTAATAAATATTATTAACGGTTAATGTTTATAAACATTTGAATATTCCCTTAACTTCCAAAATGAAATTTAAAGCCAAAGGTATAAAAATCTTGAATTTCCTTGCCAGAGGCTTTTTCCCTCAAAGATTCCTTGTAGGCTTGCTTTGGCGTTCAGGATCATTTCCACATTCCGTAAGGATGATTTCCCTAGTACTGGTGTTTGGCTAAGTTGGTCCAGAGTCTTAGGGTGCAACCCACAGTTAGCAAGCTCCTCACGAACAGTCTCCTTTCACAGTACTTTATCCACTGGTGGGCAGATGTTGAACACAGCGGTTGGCTCATGTGTATACAGTCCTGCAGAAAATGACCCACTCTGTGAAAGATCTTCCTCTTTTTTAATGACTAGGAAGTATTCCATGTATGGATAATCATAAATTAATCATTGCCCCATTGAAGATGAAGTATTTTTCTTGGTTCATTTTAACCAAGTCTTTGAATCTACATTAAGAAGTATAAAGGAAATAATTTGAGAAATACAGTCATAAGAATGTGTTTTGCTGAAGCAAAAGCTTTTCAAGTTATATTTGTTCCTTGTGCCTTTGGGGAGTGGTTCATGAAGCCCTGGCCCACCTGAATGACACTCCGTGGGACGTATGCGAACTCTGGTTCTGAGCACGGAAGTGCTGGGTGCGGTGTCTTTGCTCTGTGTTAGCGGTCTTCCTGTGGTCTGATTTTCTGAACCACCTCAAAGTTTGAATATTTAGCATTCCCCAGGCTCCATTTACCAAGAGGTTCTCTCAAAAAGTAATGTGGATTTGCCTTCCACAGTGCAGGACACATTAACTAAACTGACTTGATTGGAATTGGTTTACTGGGCATTTCCTTGAATGTTGTGATTGTTTGCAGCAGGAGTTTTCAGACGTAATTAATTTCCTGGTTATCTCAATCTCATAAATCCTGAGGCTATAATCTCATCAGTATGCATAGTTCAGCGATTACATCTTTGTTCCTGAAACTTTAAGCTTTAGGAGGCTCATGAGGGGAGTGGAATGAATGTATCACCAAATCAAAGGTACATTTTGTCACTGCAGCCCCCGGTCTCTGACTAAAATTACTGCATTGTGCTGCGGAGTTTGGATGTCTTAAAAGAGAACTCTCTGACTCCACTGTAGTCCAAAGCCTGCCTCTAGTCCACCCCTCACCCCCAATTCTGAAATGAAAAGAGCAAAGAAAGCCCTCAGGTATGGAGTTCTCCATTGTATTCAAGGCATGGGGTTTCACTGAATTCTATTTAAATGTAAATACTGTCATTGGAGTCACTCTTTGGAAATGTCTTTGTTGAGGGGGATGAAGAATTCTGTGATTTGGGTATGAGCTGCCCTGGCCTCTACCATTTGGTCAGTCCATGGAATATTTCCCAGGATCCGTCTTCACTGGTGAGAAATCAGACACAACTGGACTTCTGGGTCACCTCCTCCTGCAGAAACCACAGCCCCAGCATGTGGGCTCCATCATGAACGCAAAGCAAACCATCGGCACCTAACATGGTGTGAGTGGTTCATTCCTTCATCCCGCAAAGAGTTACTGCAACATTACTGCCTTATTAAATGCAAATAATTAAATCGGGATTCCTGCCTTAGCAGCAGTCCAGTCATAGGGCTGATGTTCTCAGTGAAATGTATCAATATTAAAAACAGCCAACCCTCCAATATTTGGTTTATTCAAAGGCCTTTAAAGAATACCCTATTTCAAAGGTAGGTCTTGGGAGTGGGACAAAATCTAGTAAAATGAAGGACAAAAATATGAGCAAATAGTAAAAAGTGAACACCTCCCCTCCTGACCCACCATGTCAGAACCCATTTACTCCCTTTGTGTTTCCTGTGAGATATTTCTATGCATGTATACGCCTGTGTACTTGTATGCTCTTTTTTAGAAAAAGAGGAGTTATACTATGTACTAGTTATATTTATACATAATCAATTACCTCTCAATTTAATCACTTAAAACAACAATAAACATCTACTAACTTGCACGGTTTCTATGGGCATGCATTCAGGAGCCGTTTAGCCAGATGGGTCTGGTTGGGGATTTTGGGAGGTTGCAGTCATCCATGTCCAGTGTGGCTCCCTCACAGGGCTGGCAAGTTGGTGCTGGCTGTTGGCAGAAGACATTAGTCTCTCTCCATGTAGCCTCCCCACAAGGCTGTTCAAGTGACCTCAGAACACAAAGGCTGCTTCCCTCAAAAGTGAGCCAAGGGGATATGGGGAAGCCACAATGCCTTTTAGAGCCTCACCTCAGGAGTCCTGCAACGTCATTTTCACGATACTCTTGAGTACACAGTCTGGCTTCAGTTCCGTTTGGGAGAAGACTACCAAAGAGCATTAGGAGGCAAGGATCACTAGGGGTCATTTTGGAAGCTGGCTGCCACAATATGCGTATTGTCAAAACAAAAACAAATGGATCCACTGTAAAATGGGGCCATGCTGGAGGAACTGCCTGGCACCTCTTATGTCTAAACTACTTGGAATGTTAAAACAGGGCAAAATAACCTTTGATGGCCTAAAGCAACCTTGTGTGCCAGAGAACTTTCTGCAAAGATAGTAAAGCGGAGATGACCACCCCACGGAGATGACCAGACTGACAATTAAAATCATTATTTAGAATTAATACCACTATCTTGATGCTATCTGCACCAGTAGAAAAGCCTTCCTTCTATTGATGTGGTCTCCTTTTCTCAGAAATACCATTGCGTTTGTCTCCTGATCTGAGCACTATTGAGCTACCATCTGAATCAGTGTGCCCTAATACCTAGCTTTTCTTTTGATCTCAAATCAAGGCTGTGTCTCTCACTTTGAAAGGCCCTTTCATTTTTAGGTTAATATGAACACAATTTGAACATTATGTCCGTATCAGCATTTATAGATTGACCTTGTTATTTTAAATGAATGCATTCATTGTATAGGTGTACTATAATACAAACTCCTCTAGCTTTTAGGTAGTTTCTATTTTTGTTATTGTTTTGGTGGAGTTGTTTTTGTGGGTGTTTTTTTTGTTTTGCTACACCTGTATTCCTACACAAGCAATAATTGAGTGAATATTTC